ATCTTACCAAGCTATTAATCCTATTCTTAGTCAAGGCTTAAGAAAAATCAAATCAAATAACAGATAAAGAAATTCTTGTTTTTTAAACATAATTAAAGTTTTCTACTTATYATGTGCCTTGGAGTTACATTTAAAGAAAACCCATTTTGGCCATCGTAATGGCCATTCATATTYATTGGGAACATGCCCTTGGACATGCTCCTCAAAGAATGAAAAAAGTGGGAACCAGGCCTTGGTTCTTTGATCATTAGTGGATAGAGCATGGCTATTTGCCAAGGTATGGTAGTACAGAAAGAGCCGAGATGATATATAGAATGCAATGAGTACATCTATAGAGTAGTGCTCGTGTGCAGCCAAAATAAAGAAGATACCAAACAGGTTCAGCACCCAACAAGCAGTGTGTAAATAATACCACTTCCTTGGGGTATCTGAAAAAATAATGACACATCACTTGAGTTATATTTCAGTTTCATAATGCAGTCACTCATTTTGCATTTGCTTCCCTCTCCTACTTAGAATCTAGGGCTTAGGGCTTAAAATAATAACCAATCAGTCACAGCTCATGCCRGCCAATTTAGTTTTAGCTTGGTTATACCTAATTTCTGGTTCTAGACAGACATTGTTGACCGATGTGCAGTCCTTATTTTAAGTCCTGGAAACATATATATGTCCCATGTATCTGTGCAAGCAGCTTACTTACATTCTGTTATTAGAAAATTGAGTAGAGTAATGACAACTGTATGTCCACTGAACATATAGTCCCCACATGTCCGAACACCATTTACTGACATACCCATACCAAGGATGATTTGGAATGCACGATATAGTTTGGCCCAGGTGTCTCCATATAACTATGTAGATAAAAAAGCATAAACATGAGCTATTACTATCAATCAAATATAATACCACCTTTACCAGATCTACATTTATAAAGACTATTTTTTATGGTAATAGAGCAAAGTCAGTGGGGTACTGAACTTAGCTTTGAGGCTTAAAGTCTTCATGAATACTGAACTTGAATTTCCTTAAAAATCTGAAATATTTAATCTTAAATAATGATAAATAATATCTGCAAATACTAATAAAGAGATTTGTGGGTTAACATAATATGAGAAAATCGAGAAGTATCATCAATAATTATATAAATGTATCACTATATTTGTGCCCAATTTTTTTTTGTAACCCTTTTTAAACACTTTAAGGCCTGCCTATATACATGTATAACTCTGACATCAATTATACCAAGACACCACTTTTCAGTGTTACTACAATTTTGAAGTCCCCATTATTTCACTCCCCCCCCCCCCCCCCCTCATCCATATAATATGTACAGTGTCCAATGTACACCATGGTCGCACCAATTGGATCAAACTCTTGTTAATTATTCAGTAGTTTTTGAAATATATTAATATTACTATTTATTTTAGCATTTGATCCCAGAACCATTTCCTTCTTACTGTACATGCTCAACAAATGCCAGAGACTCTGGGAAACCCTAGCACATGGTTAGCAGAAATCTGACTGCCTGGCATGTAATGCAAATGATTGAATATGAATYATAGCTAGCATGTGATGTAAGGTGTCAATTTGAGGCTTCGTGCAATAACGCTCAGTAATTCAAAAAATTCATTCATCACGATAAGCCTCATACTGAAACCTTTGTGTGTGACAAAGCATATCAAAGAATATTATATAATATCATATTCCATTTTAYAGTTTCGTTCAGTGACCACAAATAATAGTTTCTGGTCGTTGGAGTTTCAGCACATAGCAAAACTACATTTTTTCATGCGTGGCTACTCCAGCCTCGGCTTGCAACTGTTATTCATGGTCAACTCCAGCCTCGACTTGGAACTATTATTCATGGTCACTGAACGGAACTGTAAAAAGGAGTATTGAATGAAAACATTTACCTTCCCAGAGCACTCCAAATGAACTCCTGGCACACTTAGAGAAGTCACAAACATGGTTACACATCTAAGGAGAAAGACAGTACCAAACAGAGCTGCCATTCGACGTAACAGGATCATCCTATGYTTATGCAAAAATAGTACAATAAACCACATTGAACCAAGTACAATGCCAGTGAACTCACACATCTTAAATGCCCAAGGAATCAGGGGGACGCTATCTAGGATAATGTCTGGTAAAGGGGGGTATTTTTTCATGTCGGGTACTCTATCGTGGACAAYTGTCATCACAAAAGATGTCAAACAGAACACCATGAAAGCGTACAAAACGCTGAGGCAAGTTCGCCATGTTTCTGAAACACTTGAAATACTTGATGCTATAACGTGTTGAATCTGTTCTTCATTGGCTTCTCTCTTCTTGTAGATCTTAGGTGAACCTTCAACCTGGTCAAAATAAGCCTTCCTTATAAATCCATTATACTGTGATGATAACTGATTGTTTGGTGTTTGGATTTGGGTGATAACAAACCAAAGTCTTTTCAAGTCGCCAAGAATTTCTATTTCCAATGGCGGCAAACGTAGGTCATTTTCGGTCAAAAGAAGCAAAGCTTTTCCGTCGATTTTGTGTCTTATGGTTAGCAGTTCTATGTAAGATTCAAACCCGTTTTTTTCTAGCCAGATCCCAACATCTTTACAAGTCCAACGCAGAACTTCTTTTCTGTGGTCATCGGCCACCATTGTTTCTTCCATTGTTGTATCTCGTGTAGTTTTTTCTTGAATTGTGTTGGCAATTTTTCAAAGGACTTTGAACGGTTACGCAACTTCCGGTAAGGCTATGCAGACCACAGAAAGCCCAAAGGGACTTTAAACAGCTTTATCAGCTTCCGGTCCCGCTGTACGCACCACAGGAAACCCAATTTCTATTAAACAGGATTTCGTTTTCGTGATAAAAATAAATAAATGAAAGGATAGAAACCAGACGATGAATGGACGGGTAAATGAAAGATGAAAAGAGGTAAGGTAAGATGAAAWAAGAGGAAGAAAAATAATTACAACAATTTAATACTACCCTAAATCATAAACCTTAAAAAAACTTTGGCATCACCTATATAAGATGTTTTAAAATGAATTATCGGTTCTCTTTTTATTGTGTTGTCTTTTTATTTCCATAACTTTTGACTGATTTGGCTTAGGTCACTAGAATAAGGAAATGAGTGAAAGGTAGGAAATGAATAAGAATAAATGAATGAACCTGAAAAAACAAGTACATTCATCTATTCTTATCTTTTGATACAATGGAAAATTTYCAATAATAAAAACGATAACGACTGCCGACCGGTTAGCTCAGTTAGTAACGGAGCATAGGTCTGCATGTTTTGCGCGGGAAAATCGTGGTGACGCCGGCCCGGACCAATATTCAGGGATCTCAAAAAAWCTGAGAAGAATGCTTATTTGTAACTACATCTGCAAATGGTTCAAAGACCTTCAAGTCTTCTCATGCAAAGATTTAAAACCTTAGCCTTTAGGCTCCGCCTGTCTTCACTCTATATAACCCTGTAAAGGCAGGCGTAAAAGATGGACTGGAGACGCTGGTGACGACTATCTTCCCGTTCCCCTGCTAACACTACAGGGCCCACAGTGCCCGTGCTAAACTGTTGTAGAGCCATTTTCTCAGAAAGCAAAATAAAATAAAATAATAAAACTAGAAACAAAGATAGCTCGGCTTACCGAATAATTCGTGTAACTGAACTACCCCATATGGTCTAAATTGYCGGCCCGTTTCATAAATTGACAAGATGTTTTGCTTTTAAAACTAAATTCAATCTCCTATTACACAGTATGATAAAGCGCTTGTAGTTTTAGATTGTTTTCCAGAAGTTTCTTTTAAGAAGATTTCTTTTGACGGTAATTAAATTAATCAAGGTTGTTATTGAATTACGTCAAATTTTCCGGTTACGATTGTACGGTAACATTGAAATCGGCGCGGTTTACATGAACAATCAAGAAAATGCGTATTTCCTGTCTTGTCAGTCAGTTGAGTGTTATATACCAAGTGTAGGATGATGTTATAAAGAAACGGATCGCTAATTAAAGAAAAAAGGATACACTGTATCTATTATTGAATTGACATCAGCGATATTCAGTGCTGTGGGAGACCTTAGCCCCAACGTCCAATTCTCTTTATTTGTTTTTTGCTTTTTTTCTGTTTTGTTTTGTTTTGTTTAAAGAACGGTATTTAACTATGTCCTCTCTTATTCATAGTTTTCGAATCAATTAGAGAAGCGAGGGCGTTTTTTTCATCTGCTATTTTAGGAAAATTATTGCCAAGAACTGCTTTAGGCGTTTTCTAGTCGAGATCATGTCTTTATTTTGTTTGCCGGTTTGTTATTGTTCTGTTATTTGCTTCGCTGTTGTATAAGTATCGGAACTAGCAAGTTCAAACCCACTTCATTCAGTCAAGATTTTTGATTAACGCTTGCACAGTAAAGGCAACCTCAGGTAAGGATGATCAGTTTAGGATCTAAATATAACTGTGCTGAGATCTTCTATAGATCTAAATCATGTATAGCTGAGATTACTGAGGTTTGTCAAAAACAATTTCCATATTTTTCGCCTGGATTTCTATCCCGTCATTTCATATGACTCCTACCCCAATATACGAATATCAATATTTCTTTTGTCTTACTATAAACCTTGTCTAGCCCGCCTGTGAACTTTGGCTGAATTCTCTTCTCTTGCATTATTTTGTTTATGTCATTTATTGGAATATCGCTGCTTTTYCCCCCAGTGTATTTCATTAATTTTCCATGTTCATTATATGCTTTTCAACTGGGTGATGCTTAACTCAGTTTTCTATCTTTGTTGCGTTATGTAACCGCAAGAGATGCAGCATTCTAATGAGGGGTCTTGAAGGGGTGAAATTGGAAGTACGTTATGGAGTAGCTAGGAAATGGGAATGTTCATTGTACATGCTGGGATCTTTTTACTAGGACTTGGGTTTGAGTCGATGGGAATGTGAAAAAAGGTCTAACACAGTATTCTTTATCCTAGGTAAAACTTGCAAAGCAAACGAGTTGTTCGACAATGTTAAAATTCGCCGTACTAGTTCTTTTTTTGCATTCCTTCATTGTCTCCGACGGTATGACGCGCATCGGTCGTTCAATGACGTCATACAGACGAGACCGTCATTTCTTTAAACCAGAAGAGATGAGAAGTCYGAGAGCAACGCACGGGACAGGGGATTTCGGTTCCGAGGATTATGAAGTAGGCAATTCTCACGGCTACAAAACGAGGCTACATAGCGGTCACAGGGCAGAACAGTTTGGCGCCTTTCCTGTTGTCGTGGTAACAAGTAAAAAAAGATTAATTGCCTTAAAATTGCGTCAAAAAGAAAAGAGAAACAACTTTGTTGATGATGACCCAAAAGTTGCAGGTGAAAAGGTCTTGCGTAGATTGGACGTAAGCAGAATGTTTTCAAGATACAATAGACTTGCAGATGGTCAAAATAGATACTAAGCAAGTTTACACTGACGGTTCAAATGTGTAGGGACAACTGGTCATTCAGGAATGAATTCACAGGATTTTAGTTGTCGATTGTTGTATAAAATAGTTTGTAGTTTCGAATTGTTAGAAATAAAAACAGTAAAGATCGATACTTCAATGTCACATATCCAAATGAGCGTCTTGAAAGAAGCCTGGGCATGTTCCTTGGAAAGAAWACTTTGTGCCATCTTTCTCATTCCCCGCAGCTAATTACTAATGTACGCACTATTGATTCTTAAGGTCTGGAATAACTGAAACAATTATATGGCAAGGTAATTTCACGCGCCATGATTGGTCAATATGCGRTCAATAACATATGATGATTGTTTCTTACTTGTTTGCATGTAATGACGATCTCTTTAGTCCTTTTTTAACTTTTGTTTCTGAACAATCAAAATACGCATGCGCACAGCGCTTAAAATTTTTGTTTTCCCATATTACAAAAAGAATATTTYAAAGTGATAATTTGCATTTTTTCGGGTTGATTTACAAACACACGCGTTAAAGTTTAGATTTCAATATTGATGTAGTTAGGTCGAATATACGCACAACCTATAGGTTCATGTAAATAACAATGTCTAGTTTAGCCATATTATTACCGTTATCTTTCATATTGACAATGAACTGGTTCAGTAAATAATCAAAAGATAAGAYAAACCAATTGAAATTCGCATTTTTAAAAGAAAACACTGCAAAGTTCACACGGTTTTCTGTGTGGGGACTCCATTGATAGACGTTATCATGATAGAGAGCGAGCGACCATGAGATAAAAGAGCGGAAGAACACAAGGATTATATATATATATATATTGTATGTGTGCGTGTGTGTGGAAAAAATGAGATATTCTTAATCGCCAATAGTCTAATGTAATAATGAAAGATTTTTTTACTAAATTGACAAAATGGGAAAAAATTAAAATATAGATTAAATGTATAGTTTATACAAAGAAAATGCTTGTCTAGAGTTTGCAGCCCAAAGTAAAGAATAATAATATATGTTTATGACTAATTACTAACTCACTGCRATTATTTTGGACCTAATGATGAAAAGAGCGCAAAGGCACCCAAAAAAGTAGGGTCGTAGGATAGTAGGCATATCAGTAACACGGTACGTTGGAGGGATGGAGGTGAGAGGGAAGAGACAAAAATCTTGATTTCTTTCCCATTGTCTCCTAAGTTGTGGCTTTCCCATTCCGGGATTGTACTTGCATTCCTTTTCGTGTTGATTGATGGAATCTATTGTGAATTTCCTGGATCAGATGTAATTCAATTAAGATAAGACAATATGGTCGTCAGTTGGACATAATAGTCCTTCGATATCATTCGACACACGTCATTATTAATATTCAGCGCATGCGCAATCGATTAACCATAGCAAATAAAGTCAAATGCGCGCTCACTATCATTCAACTTGAGCATCTTCAGGCATCTTGAACAATATATGGTAATTATTTGACAGCTCTAAAATGTCCAACCGACGAAGTCTTGCAATCATCGTAATATTTTGCATGTGTTTTACCAAGACAAYTTCGAGACCTCAACTGACGAGGTTTGGCAGATCACGAGGCTCTCTCGCCCATATGTACAGTATTACACAAAAACCTGAACATCGCTCTATTTATTCACTTGAGGATAAGAAAAAAGTTCTTTTTAATTTAAAGGAAAAGCGTCAACATGTATTAAAGCGAAGTCTCAATCCTGTTATGTTAAAAACAATGGTTTTACGGTATCTCCTAAAAGACACAACTAGAAAACTTCAAGAGAATTTATCAAGAAAAAATCAGTTTATTGACAAACAGGTCAAGGAAATTTTTTTACGAGCTAATCCCTTGCAGAAAGTTTTCTTTTCTCTGGTCTTATAGAGTCATAAAACAAAGACATTCTGCAGTTCAAGCCATGACGTACACGACGTAGGCCGACAAGACGAAATGAAATGTCCAGCGTCATGCAACTGTGTTAAAGTTGACTGAAATAGAGGATGTTGTTGAAGACGCGGTTGACAAATCTGTTTAACATTAGTCTGGAAATAGCTCRGCAAATTCCGTGAGGATGAGTTTACCATTTCATGTCTAAAGCTTGGAATTATTTGTCATAGGGGAGGTTGGATGTGGTTGCAAACCCCTAAATCAACCCTGGATTCGCTTTTTGAAACATCTAATGATAGTAGGATATCTTTTTCGGCCTCGATATGGTTTGGACACTAAGTTAAGTTCAATTAGTAAGGTTAAATAACGATCTGGTCAGTTTGTTGAGCTATGTATGATACTTATACGTGAAATAACAGTATTTGCCTTTGACTGTCCCCAATGTAAAAACGAAATATTTATTATATTTATTTGTAGACAGTATAAACCACTACATCACTTGAATCACCATCTCATTCTCAAATCATCATCACTAGTTCAAATAAATAAAATACTTTATGAGCATTGTATTTTGATGAAGAACAATCACATAATTCTTATTCTATAATATAGCATATATTATAGTTTTTTGTTCTAAACAAGTCGTCTTAGCAGTAATTGCCTTCGCTCTGCATGTTTAGGCGCCGCGCCAAAACTATGGAAAAATCTTCCCCTTGAAATTAGAAGTTCAAATTATATTTGATCTTTTATATCTCAGCTTAACACATTTTATTTAGGAAATGTTTTTATTGATATTATTCAACATTCTAACATTGATATTATTATTATATGTATTTTTATATCACTTTTCACTTATATATATTTGTTTTATTATGATTTAGTTTATTGTCTGTAATGCGCATTAGAGATTTGTATATAGAATGTCCGCAATGTAAAATAAAGTTATTCTTATTATTTATTATTAGTAAAAATTCACAGGTGATTATTAAAAACCTCGCGCGCTGATTGGTCGAGAAACTCACATTATCACACGGTAATCACCTCCAGCGATAATCCAAAATGGCGGCCAGCTGCTTTGTTGCTAATACCGGG